CATTGTATTACTAGGCAGGTTACAGACTTAGCAACATTATGCAGCTTATTCCTCAGTTACATACTAAGTTGCAATGTGTAATATGATGAGCTTTGTGTAGCTCTCAAGAAAGTCCATTGTATAAAGTTACTGTTATGTGGACAGGTTGAGGCTCAGTGAAACATTGTGGTCATCTAAAAAGAGAGTTTCTTTATTCCCAGGAGCTGTGTGCCTGAGATCAAGGTCGAGGCTGATAAGACTCTAGCAGCATTGCCACAGCAATTAGACATAGCACATGTATTAGTTATCTTACTAATTCCTAGGAGAAACTGCAGGACATTCTAAGGGTGGGAAACAGAGTGCCTATTACCCATCCCCTACCCTGGGACTTTGATTACAGAGAAACACTTCCCTGTATATTTCCACAGTCAATCCCTACAATTCTCCAACTCCATCCATTTACCTGCAAATGCCATAATTGTATTCTCTTTTAATGCTGAGTAATATTCCATTGTGTATAAATACCACATTTTCTTTATCCATGCATCTACTGAAGGGCATCTAGGTTGGTTCCATGAATTAGCTATTGTGAATTGTTCTGCCAAAACCATTGATGTGACTGCATCACTGTATATGCTGTTTTTAAGTCCTTCATATATAAACCAAGGAGTGGGATAGCTGAGTCAAATGGTGGTTCCATTCTAAGTTTCCCATGGAATCTCCATACTGCTTTCCAGATTGATTGCACCAATTTGCAGTCCCATCACAATGTAGGAGTGTGCTTTTGCCCCCACATCCTTGCCAACATTTATTGTTGTTTGTATCCTTAATAGCTTCCATTCTGACCGCAGTGAGATAGAGTAGATTTGATTTGCATTTCTCTAGTTGCTAGCAATATTGAACATTTTTCATGTATTTGTTCATTGATTGTATATCACCACCTGAGAAGTGTCTGTTCAGTTTCTGGGCCCATTTATTGATTGGATTATTTGTGTGTGTGTGTGTGTGTGTGTATGTGTGTGTGTGTGTTAAGATTTTTGAGTTCTTTATGTATCCTAGAGATTAGAGCTTGCTCTGACATGTATGTGGTAAAACTTTGCTCCCATTCTGTAGGCTCTATAATGACCTCACTGATATGAGTATTTTTCTTTAAGTAATTAAAAAAACAGGTATTCCATGTAACAAAAATCTTTAGGTGTAATTTATTTCATACTTATTCACTAAAAATGTATCCTACTTTCCAAAGAAGTTAATAAATTGATCATTTTATATTAATTTAGTAGAGAGGGTCACCAACAGAAACTTTTGCTAGCCATCGCAGACTGCTTTTTTTTCAGATTTTGGGATGGTTAGAATTCACAAAAATATATTTATAGCTTGAATTTGTACCACCATATATATCATGCACTGTAAAACAATAATATCTTTCTACCCAGTTTCCTATGATTCTAGGAAAATGCCCTAATGAGATTTCTTCTTAGAGTTTGTTCACAGCTTGCTACCTTCAGTTTTTGCACATTTTAAAAATTGAGAGAAAATGCACATAACGGAAAATTCAACATTTTAACCATTTTAAAGTGTACAATTAAGTGTTTTCTAGTGTATTCACAATTTTGTATAACCACTACCACCATCTAAATTTGTTATGGTGATGCATGACCAATATAATTCTGAAACCTGTACACTCAGAAAAATGAGAAGTTATATCCCATCTGATTCAAATGTATGATATGTCAAGATCATTGTACTGTCATGTGTAACTAATTAAAACAAATAAAAAATAAAAATATTGTTATGGTGTATTATTGCTGAAGATGTGGTGTCTCTCAGTGAATGTTCCACGTGAGATGAAAAGAATGTGTATTCTGCTATTTTTGGATAAAGGGTAGATATTCCTCAGTTTATGATGGGGTTATATCCCAATAAACCCTCAGAAGTGAAAATATCAGAAGTCAAAGATGCATTTAGTATGGTTATGGTACTGAACATCATAACTTTCTAGCTATCTTTTGTTTTTTTAAGTACTGTGGATTGAACCAAGTGGCACTTAGCCACTGAACCACACCAACAGCCCCTTTTATTTTTTATTTTTGAGACAGGGTCTCACTATATTTCTTAGGGCCTTTCTAAGTTTCTGAGGATAGTCTTGAACTTGGAATCTTCCTGCCTTAGCCTCCCTAGTCATTGGGACTGCAGGCATGTGTCTTTGTGCCTGGGTTTATCTAGATATCTTAGATTTATGCAGTATACTTATATTATCCTATCCTTCAGCAAAACAATCTGATACAAACCCAGTTTTATAATAAGGTATTGAATATCTCAAATAATTTATTGAAAAGTCTACTGAAGGTATAAAAAAACAGAATGAGGGTATGGTATTTCTTTGGACCATCAGATAATCAATTCAGAGATCAAACCATTTTAAGTAAGGAACCATCTATATTCTACAGATAGAGATGAATCGAATCTAGTCAATTACTGATGCTGTTGAATTCCACTGTGTCCTAAATGATTGTCTGCCTGTTAGATATGTCCATTTGTGATATCCCCAAATACAACAGTTGTTCCATCTGTTTCCCTTACACATGGATCTGTCTGTCCTTCCCTCGCATATTTTGACACTCTTCTCATTGGTCATGTAAGCAGTAAGGATATTTATGCCTTTTTGGAGAACCCACCCCTTTATCACGACATAATGTTTCTCTTTCTTATAAAGTACCTGCTCTGAAATCTGCCCTGTCTTAAATTAACAAGTCTTCTAATGCTTTTTTTTTTAGAGAGAGAGAGAGAGAGAGAGAGAGAGAGAGAGAGAGAGAATTTTTTAATAATAATTTTTTAGTTTTCGGCGGACACAACATCTTTATTTTTGTATGTGGTGCTGAGGAATGAACCCAGCGCTACGCGCATGCCAGGCGAGTGTGCTACCACTTGAGCCACATCCCCAGCCCTTCTAATGCTTTTTAAAATTATTGTTAGCATGATACATATTTTCCCATTCCCTTTATATATACTTTTATATCTAAAGTGGATTTCATGTAGACTGCATGCAAATGAATCTAGACATTTGATCTACTCTCACAATTTCTTTTACTTAGTATGTGTTTAATGGTTGATGTTTAAAGTGATTATGGATATAGTTGGATGAATATAGGCTATGCATGCTACTTTTCTATTTGTTACTCTTCTTTGTTTTTATTTTTGTCTTTTACTCATTTTGCACCTATTTGGAATTAATTGACCATTTCTATGATTCCATTTTCTCTCAGCATTTCAGGCATTTCTAAATATTTTTTATCGCTTTCTCAAGATAATTTGCATTATACATTTATAACTAATGCAAATCCATTGTCAAATAACACAGTACCATTTTAAATTTAGTGCAATTTGCCTTATAAAACAAAATAATTCCAATTCCTAGTTCCTGTCCCTTATGTCATTTATTTAACTTATACATAAGTATGTGTGTGTGTGTATGATTGTGTGTATATGTGCATACATAAAGAAATAATTGTTGCTATTATTTTGAATAAACTTCTCTTAGATCAATTAAGAATAAGAAAATTAAACATTTTATTTTCCTTTATAATCTTCTCTAATATGCTTTCTTTATGTAAATCCAAGTTTCTTTTTTTAATATTTACTTTTTAATTATAGGTGGACACAAGATCTTTATTTTATTTTTATGTGGTGCTGAGAATTGAACCCAGTGCCTCATGCATGGTAGGTGAGTGCTCTACCACTGAGTCACAACCCCAGCCCAATAAATCCAAGTTTCCGATCTAAAGAATTTTTTTCTAAAGAAATTAATTTACTATTTCTTACAAGGAAAGGCTCTTGGCAGTAAATTCCCTATATTTTTGTTTTCTGAGACAGTCTTCATGCTGCTTCACTCTTGAAGGATAATTTCACAGGGTACAGGATTCTTTATTGGTGGCTTTTATCTCTAAACACTTTAAGCATTTTACTCTATTCCCTTCTTTTTTGCATGAAATTTTGAAGAGAAGTCAGGTGCAATTCTCCTCTTTCATCCACTATTATCAAGGAGTATATATATATATATATATATATATATATATATATATAGCCTCTTTATAAGTGTGTGTGTGTGTGTGTGTGCTGGGCATTGAACCCAGAGGTGCTTTACTACCACTGAACTACATCCCCAGCTATATCTTGTGAAAGGGTCTTCCTAAATTGCTGAGGCTGGGCTCAGACTTGCCATCCTCCTGCCTCGGCCTCTGGAGTCATTGGGTTTATTGGTGTCATCTGCCATACCTGGTGGATTATTTCACGATTTTATCTTTTCTTTAGTTTTCTATATTCTACATATGAACTTCCAATACTACATTTGGTAGAAGTGGCAAAAATAGACATTGTTGTCTTGTTCCTGATGGAACAATGCTTGAGAATTGGCACTATAAATGAGAACCCAGAGAATAGTGCACAGTAATGATTTAGTAATTGTGAGCTGTTTTTATAAATACTTATAAGTTGAAGTTCATACAGATTAGATAATTTCCTAGTTTGCATGTTTTTAAAAGGTAGTCTTAAAATGGGCTTCTATCCTGCTGATGCTGTGTGTGTGTGTTTGTGTGTGTGTGTGTGTGTTTTCCTGGGGATTAAATCTAGGGCCTTTCATATGAAGTTCTGTACCACTGTGCTACATTCCCAGCCCTTTTAAATTTTTTATTTTGTTTTATGACAGTTATCCTCTTGTTATGTTGCCCAGGGTGGCCTCAAACTTGGCAATCCTCTTGCTCAGCCTCCTTGAGTAGCTGGGATTACAGGCATGTGCCGTAGCACCTGGCTCTAATTAATCTTGACAGATTCAAAAAATACTTGGAGCAACTTATCTTAGAAAACAGCATTACTATTTCTCCACATGGTGGAATAGTATGCTGATGGATGATCCTTAATTCTCTAGTACATAATGGTGACACCATACATTTTGCAAGGAGTGATACATGTCTTGGGATGGTTGTTTACTATTATAGCACTCATGCCCAGAAGATTCACATGTATGTTAAAATAGTTCCATTTTATGCTGACCCCAAATCTGCACTTATTATCTCTTCCTTCCTCTGTGTAGTTTGAGGAGTCCATACATAGCAGGGTCCCTCAGACAGGAGGGTGGGAAACCCTCTGTGACTATATCCCTGTACAGTTTACCTGACCTTCTCCCACTTCCTCTCAGTCATCCCATCTCCAAGACACTATGAACACGGCTTCCCAGGCTCCATTGCATATTCAATAAGTTGTTTGAACTTAACTATGTAAAAAATAAGTTGGCATTTCTTTTTTTAATATTTATTTTTTTAGTTGTAGTTGGACACAATACCTTTATTTTATTTATTTTTATGTGGTGCTGAGAATCAAACCCAGGGCCTCACACATGCTAGGCAAGCACTCTACCACTGAGCCACAGTCCCAGCCCTAAGTTGGCATTTCTTTTGCTATTAAAAAATTCCTGAGCCAGGCATGGTGGTGCATGCCTATAATCCCTGAAGCTTGGGAGGCTGAGGTAGGAGGATTGCGAGGTCAAAGACAGCCTCAGCAACTTAGCAAGTGCTAAGTAACTCGTGAGACCCTATCTCTAAATAAAATACAAAATAGATCTGGGGATGTGATCAGTGGTCTAGTGCTCAAGTTCAATCCCCAGTACGTCCCCCCAGCCAAAAAATTCCTGAAACACCAGTTGTCCTTCAAATCAAGATTCTTTGGAGACCTCATATATAAAGTTATTATTTTGTGGAAGGAGTTTTAAATTTTCTTTCTGAGTGTAATTCAAAGATTGTTCAGTTTTTCCTGCCTGTTAGCCTATCTGAAAATCTAAGAGTGCTAAAATATATTATTTGGTTCTATTAAGTGTTCCATAAGCCTAAGCATTCTATAGACCGTGCCCCTGGCTTTGTGTGACCCCCTCATACCTCTGTTCTATTTCACCTAGATCCCTTAGAAAATGGGAATGGATCTTGGATGCAGGCAGAAGAAACTCAGGAAAAATAAGCAGTGCTCATTTTAGCAGAAACTGTCACATTTTAATTCAAATCAACTGGATTATCTTATTTTGTTAGTCCTCGGTGAACTGTGTTGACTCTTCTCTAGTCTTTATCTGTTACCCTTGGGAAAATTCTTTTGAAGACTATTGCCTTAGAATGCACTTCCTGTTTTTTATTCTCTTTTTGTCAATAGGTTTTGATTAACTATATTAAATCTAATTTTAACAAGAGGCAGGCTATAAATGAATATACACACATTGCTAGAAATTCAACCTTTCTCAGTAGCTCAGCCCAATCCTTCTGTGGATGGGGCTGGAGTAGTTTTGAGCACGCCATTGATGCCAGGGTGTCAGAACTTAGCATTTTTAAAATTCAGCTTTTTATTTCCTTGACTGATCAATTTATGAACTATAGGATAATTAATTGTCTTTTAGTTTCTACTTCTGAATTTAGATGGGGTGTTAGTTTTCTGTCACTATGACAAAATGACTGAGAAAATCAACTTATAAAGCAGAAAATTTTATTTTGGCTTGTGGTTTCAGTCCATGGTCACTTGGTCCCTACTCTTTGGCTTGTGCTGAGGCTGAACATTGTGGTGGGGAGCATGTGGTAGAAAAAGCTGCTAACATTATGGTGACCAGGAAATAGGGAACAAAAAATGAGAGGAAGGGACCAGAATCCCAATATGCCCCTCACTGGCACACCTTCAGTGTATAACTTCCTTCCACTAGGCTCTACCTCCTGAAGGTTATACCCACCTCCAATAGTACCACAGGCTGGTGTCCAAGACTCTGGCACATAGCCTTTGGGGTCATTTCAGATCCAAATCATAACAGGTGGTAAAAAGAACACATAGGAACAGTTAAAGTCTGAGTGTCCAAAGATACAGAAACACTTTCACGAATGAACTTCATTGTAGGCAAAGCAATGTAAGCCAAAAAAAGGGGAGTAGTGGGCAAGTGAATATTTCTTTGAGACCCAACCTAATTTGCTCCAGTTTCCACTGGCCAAACTGGGAAGCTAGCAAGATGGATACTTGCTCAATCTTTTTTGTGACAAAAAGTAAGTGGATCCAGCACACTTGCCACACTTATTACCTATGTTGTAAACACCTGCAGAGTTCCCCTGTTCAGAACACTGGACACATCTGATTAACCATGAGTAGTCACTTTCTGGCCAGGAGAATGAGGCTTGGGCATATAGCAAAAGCCTTGTCCTAGTGGTTTGCAAAATGAATTATGAAAATGTGGGCACAAGTGATTGAGGCCAGGTTAAATCACTTGAAGCCTTTCCCTGTACAGCCAAATCTTTGTACAACTGTAGAACACTCTTTACAAATGTAACGTGAATCCTTGATGTTCAGATCTCGTATATTGTACTTCTTTTTAAAATTTATTTATTTGTTCTAATCAGTTATGCATGATAGCAGAATGCTCTTCAGTTCATTGTATATAAACGGAGCACAGTTTTTCACTTCTCTGTTGTACACAAAGTAGGGTCACACCATTAGTGCAATCATACACACCCCTAGGGTAATTGATGGTCATCTCATTCCACCATCTTTCCTATTGCCCTCCCCCTCCTCTATCTTCCCTCCCTTTTGGCCAATCCAAAGTTCCTCCACTCATCCCATGCTCCCCCCCCCAATTATGGATTAGCATTCACTTATCAGATAAAACATTCAGCCTTTCTTTTTTGGGGATTGGCTTACTTCACTTAGTATGTTATTCTCCAAATCCATCCATTTACCTGAAAATGCCATAATTTTATTCTTTTATTGTGGATTAATATTCCATTGTATATATATAAATATAAAATATTCCATTGTGTGTGTGTATATATATATATATATATATATATATATATATATATATATATATCTACCTACCATAATTTCTTTATCCATTCATCTATTGAAGGGCATCTAAGTTGGTTCCATAGTTTGATTATTGTGAGTTGTGCTGCTATGAACATTAATGTGGCTGTGTCACTATAGTAAAAATATGGAACACTTCATGAATTTGCATGTCATTCTTGTGCAGTGGCCATGCTAATCTTCTCTATATTGGTCCAATTTTAGTATATATGTTGCCGAAGTGAACACTTAGTATGTAATTTCAATAGAAAATTCATATAAACCATATTTTAACAATAAACATGTTAAAATATGCCAAAATCAGAATTATTAACTCAAACATTATTTCTTAAAAAACTCTGAAGCCACTAAACTGGAAAAGACAAAGTGCAAATGAAGATGATTACTGTGACTTTGCTTTTGGAAAATGCTGTGTGTATATTTTGTTTATATGATTGTGTATACCTAACCTATGGGGACACATCCACAGAGCATGTAACATTTTATTAACAAAGACTCCTTTGGATCAGGAGATAGGTGTGAGGTCAGTGAGAAATGCAGTTTGATTGAAATTAATAAATGCTTCTGTGTATTGTTTGAAATTTTTTATTCAAAATTAAAGGGAATTGGATAAAAATGTAAACCAAAACACATGTACAAAATTGACAAAAGTCAGGGGTACATATATTCCATTCTTTGGAAAAATATTCATTGTATTTAATTTCATAAGGGGAATGAAGTAAATAGAGAAATGGGACTGGCTCTGTGTGTGTGCGTTAGCTCCTCTAGCTACCACCTTGAGTAGAGCTCACAGTTATAGCTTTATGTTCAGTTCACACCAGAACTGACGTTCAATCTGAAAATGAGATATCCCAGAAAATGTGCTTTATTGTATTCCAGGAAAATACAGAGGTAAAAATATATTCCAAAACAGCTCTACAGTTATGATCCAGTCAACTCAAGTTCACAGCCTGCATTCCTTCCTCCCAGCTACTTCATTCTGGCCAAGAGGTAGCACTGGAGCTATATGTCCATATGTAATTCATAATGAACAGGCATACATTTTGTGGACTAATAAATGACCTGAAATGATTGAATTTGATACTTGTTCTGTTTAGGAGCTTCATTTATATTTCAAAGCAGCTCCATTTGCTCTTGACCCCAAATCTACATGGCATTCACTGATTTCTCTCTTCCATCTCAGTGTAAGTAGAGGTGTGTGTACTGCAGAGGGGTCCCTCCCAGAGAATATAGTCTTTTCCCTCCATTACTCCACCCCTGTACACTCCTCCCAGACCTTCTCCCTCCACCTCTTAATCATCCCCTTTCCAGAACACTGGACACAGCCCAGACCCTGCTTTAGTAGCCCCATTGTCTCAGTCACCTCCCTCCTGCCCTTCTTTGCCTCTTGCCCACTGGTGACTCCAAGGCACACTAGAGCTATCTGACATTTCATGGTATACTTTTACTTTTTATAGTATTCTTTCATGGTTTCGCTTGTTTTTTTTTTTTTAAGAATTAGAATCATTGTGTTTATAGGTTCACAAACTAGGTTTTAATTGAGTTTTCTTCTTCTGCTGCTGCTCCTTGTTGCAGCCACTTTTTTTTTTTTTTTTTTTTGTAACCAAGGTTCATTTTTTTTAGTTTCCCAATTTACTTTTTTATTTTTTTTGATTTAAAAAATAAATGACAGCAGAATGCATTACAATCTTATTACACATATACAGCATGATTTTCATATCTCTGGTTGTATATAAAGTATGTTGACACCAATTCGTGTCTTCATACATGTACTTTGGATAATGATGTCCATCACATTCCACCATCCTTGCTAATCCCCTGCCCCCTTCTTTCCTTCCCACCCCTCTTCCCTATCTAGAATTCATCTATTCCTCCCATGCTCCCCCTCCCTACCCCACTATGAGTCACCCTTCTTATATCAGAGAAAACATTCCTCATTTGTTTAAGGCGGGGGGGGGGGGGGGGGTAGATATTGGTGCAGCCACCTCTTTGTAAACACAGACTTTTGATAATGCAGGTGTGTTGGTTCCACCTTGTGACAGAATCTTGAACTGCAACGTGAAAATGGCTGAGCAGGAAACTGGGAGGGAGGGAATCTGACCAAGCACATCCTACAGAACTTTCTGGAAGCCTGTGTATAAAAGGGGACATTGCCAATGTGTAGGTAGGTATACTGAGGACCTCCACACAGAAAATGAAGTCTATCATTATTGGGAAGAGAAAGCGCTATGTGAGAGGACCAAAAAAAAAAAAATCTTATTTTCTTATTTTTATACTTTGAAACTTCTGGATAATTAGCTGGAGACACACAAACAAAAAAGGATTCACACTAATTATGATTTTTGGAAAGCAAATTTCCCCTTAATTAATATGGGCATCATTCCAGGAAGATATATTTCTGATTGCATTTTTAATTTTCAACAAAATTTTAGGCTTTCCCCCCTGACTGGGTTTTTCATTGTGTGGATACCCCAGAATTAAGTTAGGATCAAAGTAATGAAAATTTAGTTTCTTTTACAGTTTTCCAATGACAAATGATAGTGTACCAAACACCCTGTTATCACAATATGTGTACTTACATACACCACATAATACATGTATACCTATGCAAATGTTTGTAAGCATTTCTGTTGACATAATGACTTGTAAATGTTCTTACTCATTTATATTCCTAACAGTGAAGCATAAAAGTACCTATGTCTCCACACATGAGAGACAATGAAAATCATTGCTAATGTGATAGTGAAAGGATCTTGTGTCATTGTTGTCATTATGACTTGTTTTTGCTACCTTATGGAATTCATTCCTATGCATGTAAAATAATATTCACAATGCTGAATTATTTAGAGTGTTTTTATAGTTCCTACTGTCAACCCTGTGTGCATTGCATTTTCAGAATATAATCTGCTAAAGGGCACAGTTTAAGGCATAGTTCACACCATCGTTTGAAAGAGATAAATGGGTTCTATGTGAGCCTAGCAAACTGTTTTGGAAAATTCTCATATGATAACAGTTTGGGTTTTATAGGAGTATGTGTAAGGTGTGTGTGTGTGTGTGTGTGTGTGTGTGTGTGAAAAAGAGAGTGTGTGTATGCATCAGCAAGTGACACTCTGTGTTTGTGCATGCACACATATGGTGACAACCATATTTCTGTATTCTTTTTCCCTCTTCATAGATTTGCATCCTGTTTGGCCTCCCTTCCTACATTCAGGTCCAAAAGTGAAGGAAGAGAATTCTCAGCATGGCATCCTTATAACCTAAGCCTTATTGACATCCTTCATTCCATCCTGAAGATGACTTGTGAGAAAGTGTTGGTACAAAGTGTGTGCAACTTTGGAGCCCTCTAATAAGTGATACCATCCTAACATTCATAAAGGTAGTGCTGCTTGAACTGCCCAAGGCCACGGAGGAGTAAAGAAAGTAACAGTACTGATAGTCTGTCACAGAGGACAGGACTTGGACCCTGTAGAGGACCCACTATCAAACCTGTGCTGCAGGTGGAGGTGATGAGGTGTAAATTAGCTTTTATGCAAATGAGCAACCCAAGGGAGCATGGGTGGTGGGAAGGAGGGGGGACAGTCATTGTTTGGAGTTACACAGGACATAGAGTCGTTAGGGTAGGATACAGCACAGTATTATAAAATACATGTGCATTAAACAACTTGCTAAGAGCCACGTTTGAGTGTTATTGTGATACAATGGAAGCTCAGATCAATATAGTATTTTTCACAACATTCTTGCAATATAATTTGAAATACAATTACCCATTTACCCATTTTAAGGATACAGCTTGATGGTTTTCAGTATATTTATAGAGTTGAGCAACCAAGTATTAGCTATTTCCATCACCCTATAATATAGCATTGTGCTTAGTTAAAAACTGGTCCTCACCACAGCCCCAGGGAATGCATGTTTGTGTCTCTGGATTTTCCTGTTCCATACATTTCATATAAATGGAATCACACAATATTTGGTCTTTTGCATCTGGATTATTCACCTGTTATCATGGTTGATCCCTGGTACATCAGGTTATTTCTACTTTTTGGCTGTTGTTCAAGATGATGATGCTACATATATTCCTGTTCCAATTTATATGTAGACATGGGTTTTCATTTATCTTACATGTGTACCTGGGAGTGTAACTGATGACACATATGATAACTCCCTGTTTAATGGTGAGAAGAAATGCCAAGCCATTTCCATGACCTTGGCAGGCTTGAGGATCACCTGCTGAGCCTGTTATTTTCTCCAATTAGACTGTAATCATGGCTTTTGAAGCATTTTGAAGATTTGAAGCATCTTCTCATCACATTCTTTCTGGGAGTATAGGATATCCATGTGACATCACTGGTGACACTAAACTTCATCACTTGGTTAAGGTAATGTTTGCCAAGTTTCTCCAGTGGACAGTGACTGTATTCCATCTCTTACTGTCATGTTTGTAAGGGAGACACTAAGTTCTGCCCTCGGGGGTTAGGATAAGAATTAACCTTCACCTCATGGAGGGCAGGTAACTGTATATGTTATTTGGAATTATTGGATGAAGATAATTTGTCTCCTCTTATCCATTTCTTTACTGATTCAGACATTTGTTTATATTACTTTGGATTTATGCACATTATTGTAGAGGTTATGTCACTTCACTTTAAGGATATGCCATTGTCCTGAGTTTGTGGTGCAGTCTTGAATGTGAGTTTCCAGGGAGTTCAGGGCACTTAGATTCCTGGCAGCATCAGGACACAAAGCTTTTGTGAGATTCCAGGCTTCACTACTGAGCAGACAGTAACAATGAAGATTCCCTGATTTACTTAAGCTTTCCCAACTTCCTATAACCTGATCTAACTGTAGATTTAATAACAAATTACTTAAAGATTCAGTTTGGAGGAGATAATATTTAGGGTGTCATTTGGTTACATTAGTTTAGATATTTTGAATCTTATCCTCCAGATTATCTGTCATAGAGGAAACACTTGTTATTCAGCCATTGTCTGTCTGTCATCATTAAGCATCGGGGGCCCATCGTCAACACGAAGTCATTGGGAATATAACTTTTTTAATCCTTATTTTATTATTTCCCCATAAAGAGGCTTTTTAGACATTTTCCCCCTCACACACCTTCTGCCCAGAATATAAAATGTTGAGATCATACATGGAGGATTAAGTATGTGTTGTGTTTCTTTGTAGTGTCACAAACTATTGTAATATGTACCATCCCCCTACCCCTGAAA